TGTCCAGACCCCCAGTTGTGGGGATTTGCTGCCGGGATCAGGCTGTCCTCTTTCCTGTCATTGCCCAATGCTGTCTCCTGCCTGACAGGAGGAGGGGCTGGAGCTCACTCACCCATTCCTTGTGCAAGTCCCTTGTGCCCTCTGAGCCTTGGCTTACTCATCTATAAAATGGGGTGGTGACTCCTGTTGTTTCCCTGGAGGACTAGACAGCTAGTAAACCACTTCCCCCGCAGGCTTCCCAGTGAGCAGTGGCTGGAACAGGGGCTGAGCCTCCTCCACTCCATCAGTAGAGCAGGTGGGGGTGAGGCTGTGTGTGACTGGGGGCACCTTGCCTGCCGGTCTCTGAGCGCTGATGTCCTCCAACTGCAGGGCCAGATCCATTAGTGAGCTGTGAGGTCATGGCCGAATTTTCTTCTTGACGAAATGGACCAGAATAACAGAGAATAAGAGAATGTGTTGTTTCATAGAACTCTCTTCCAGAGTTGTACATGTGTGGCTATGTCCCTGGATGCTAACTCAAGGTGTCAGAAGTTTTTCTAACCGTGGATGTTGTTTCAAAAATAAGAAAAAGTTGCGGGAAATGCACTCCTCAGATTTCTAGCAACCCACCTATTTATTATACAAAGCCTGAGGTCAAATATCTTGACATATCATGAGATGCCAGCTCCAGGTGCCAGAGCTGTGCCACCTCCACTTCTTTTTGGAAAGGGCAGAGCAGAGGCTGAGGGAAAGCCCACAGGCTGGGTGGTGTTGAGGGGTGGGAAGGGGTTTAGCGAGGCTGCCCTTCCTGCTTCCGTTGGCGGGGTCTCAGGAAAGGTCTTCAAAGCCTGTCTGCTGGCCCCCATGACAGCATCCCCTGCCTCGGGAAAGCAACACACTCCCCTTAAGCTCCCAACCTACTCCCCAGGTCCATAAACATGGCCACTTCATGCTCCCTGACGCCCTCAAATGGCCCACAGTGTGAGGCCATATCTGACACTGGCTTATGTCCCACGATGGCTGGTTTCTAAGCAGTAACACAGCCAGGCAGCACTTTGGCTCATCTTTTTTCCCTTGGGAGACTGGTAATCTGCCTCCTCTATCACCTTCAAATGACTCTATTTCATTGCCCCCTCACTGCAGAGCTTACATGTACTTCTCCCATCCCAACCCCAGGAGCCTCCTCTCTGCACAGACATCAGCCAGGCATTTGACAATGATTTCAGTAAGCTTATTGCAGACAACAGCAGGGAAATGTAGATGGAATGTGGATAGTGGGTCAGCTCCTGATGGAACAACCAGGTGCGTGAGCTAATGACCCTGCCCGCTAGGCTGATCACTATTTGAGAGCCACTGGGCTCAACCATGTTCCGACCTTCCTCTTTTACTTTCTATCAAAATGCAGCATAAACATGCATCCAGAGAGGTGAGCAGGATGCAGGTGAATTTTCGTATTTCCTCCATTATTCACAATCCACAAGTCCTCTGTGTGACAAGCATCAAGATTAAGAAACAGAACATAATAAACAGCTCCCAGAAATCCCCCGCTGGTCCTGCTGCCCTCACTGTGCACCCGAACTGAGGATAAGCACTGTCCTGACTTCTAGTTGCAGGGTTCCATTTCGCCGGCTTTGGATCCTCAGGCTGGTGGAATGATACGTGTGCCTTCTCCCACATCTAGCTTCTGTCTCAAGCTTAGGTCTGTGGGGCTCGTCCACGTTGGAGGGTGGGGACGCAGAGGGCATCTTCTCACTGCTGCACAGGGCTGCACTGATGACCACCCCAACATCTGTGTATCCCTCCCACGACTGATCATGCCCCTACATCTTTGTGAGTTGAGTTGGAGAACCATGAGCAGGTCCAGGCAAAGTCAGCAGAGCTAGAATCAGGAATCCAAATGTTGTGAGCAGGTAGGTAAGCTGAGCTAAAGGCACCCAGATGAAATATGAGCCCCATTCAATGTAAAGTCATGCCTTTCTATTCAAAGAATCAGTTGTATCTGTGCCGCAGGAGAAGGGGTCATGATTACACACTCAGGATCTAACCCCACACCCTGCCCAACCACAACATGCCCTTCCATGGTCTTGGGGGTGGCCAGTCCCAGGATGTGGGGAGGCATCTCAAGACCTTCTCCCACACACCCCTGGTCTTTGGGAGCACCTGGCCTGCCTCTCACCCACTCTGTGGTTCCTGACCTGCCTCAAAACCTGAGCTTCTCCCTCCCTCCTCAGCTGGCAGCATGGAGTCCGCCCTCAAGGGGTCCCTGGGATTGGTGGGAATTGCCTGAGAGTTGCTGGAAAATTCTGCAGCAATCTGGAGGTTCCTGGATACTAACTGTGGAGGTCGATAATGGCAGCTATTTAGGGAGAGGGGTTTCTGAGTGCCGAGGTACATGTCCATTCAGGTCCCTGGCTCTCAGTGTCCCCAGTGTGCCATTTCTTGATCTCCCTTGGAAAACAAGTCTCTGATTCCTGTCCCTGTGGGGACTTCTGAGCTGCTTCTGCCCAGGGTTCTCACAGGGTCTGGAGTCCCCCAGATTGCTTCCTCCTGGTGGGGAGAGGTGTCTTCTGGGGCCTTCTCACTCATGTGTGATTGCTCCCCTCAGACAGTGTCTTTGAGTTCCCAGATGAGTTCTCTTACTTTGGTTATTCAGTAACTCGGCTTACTCATCGCCTCTGGCCATGAGGGTGAGGGTTCGCCCAGGTGTGGAGGCAGGGCGAGAGCAGGCATGGTAATGGCTGGTTTTTATGGGCATTTTCAATAGTCACGGGAGCGTAGCCAGCCTGACGCTGTGCTTGGGTTGGAAACTCTCGACCCCACACCCAAGGTCACAAGCCAGGTGCAGGTATCTGCTTGGGGGCAGGCAGCCTTCAGAGACCAGCCACCCGGAGCAGGGTGATAGGATGGGTGGTGCCCAGCGAACATGGCAGGTCAGGGCCTGGTCAGGGCACAGAGTGACCGTTTCCACATTTCCAGGGCCTCTGTTCCCAGCAGCTTTCTCAGTAAGCCGCCTCCTTTTGTCAAAAGCAAAATCCTTCCTCCCTGTCCCAGTCCCTCACTTCCTGTGGCCTGGTTCTCTTGCCCATGCTCGTGAAGTTCACAATTTTAGGACAAAATTCGGGTCTAGTCTGAGGAGGTCCAGGGAGCATCAAGACCATAAGCAGGGACAGCAAAGCCACGTGTTCATGATCTTTCCCGAGGACACTGGGATCAGAGCTAGTAGACTCTGGTCTTAGTGGTTTGCTGGAGGGACGTTTTCCATGAAAAGCAGTTGATACTCGCCTGCAATTATCATTTGTGGGGTCTCTGAGGGCCCTTGTTTCTAGTTGGGTGGCACCAAATAATGATGCGTGATAGCAGAGAGCTGACCTCGCACACCAAGGCCAGCGGGTCGTTAGGTCCCCTGGAGTCTGTGCTGAGAGCATTCTGGGCCACATCTGGGCTCTGCAGGAAAGGATAACTCTCTGAGTGATGCGAAGCAGTGGTGGTCTCCACAACTTCAGGGCTGTCAGCCAGGAGCACCATGCAAGCGGTCACCCTATTGTGGGCAGCCCACGCCTTTCCCTCTCCCCACGCCTTTCCCTCTCCCCATGCAACCCATTAACGGTCATTTGCCTTGGTTTCAGGTGTTCTCATACACAGTCACTCTGCTGTACGTGGTCCACGCAGTGTTTTCTTTAATCAGATGGAAGTCTTCGTAAAGCAGCTGAAGAACTTTAGCTGAAAACCCAGAGGGTGTTAACTGATCAGCCCACCTTCCAGCATAACATTTTGAAGGCAAAAATACTCTCAATGATGGAAAAAGAAAACAAATAGCAACGCTCTGCGTCTCTGTGGGTGTTAGGTCTCCTCTCCCATATACCCTCATCTTAGGGTAAGGGACTTGCTATGTTTATCCTCTTAACTACTGAGCTATCTTTCTAAGATCATTTCCTATTTGAAAGGGGGCAGTGGATGTGGGAAGTGAGGACTGTGATCTCAGAGACCATGAAACAAGGATCCCCTGCTGACCCCTGGACAGGATCTTGAGAACTGTCTACTGGAATTTTCCATGAGCTCTTCTGATTGTCCATCCTGCAGCAAGTTTCTAATATTCATGGATGTACTATGTCTTCATGGATAGTCTACGTGTTCACAGATATTCTGTCATGGGGAGTAAGACTTGCCCAACAAGTATTTGCAGATGTCCACCGTGGGAGATGATAAACCTTTGAAATGCTTTATAAAGTGCCCTTATGTTCAATATTTTCTTGGGTGTTTTTTGTATTTAATTCCCCAGTATTGGGAATTTCATTTCAGCTTTCTTTCTGAGGAATCCTTGACTTAGACCAGATCACCCGAGGTAGCATCAGAGAGCAGTTCAGATGACAGCTGTTGTGCCCAGCCACTGCATCTCAGAACGCCCGGCTGATACCCCATACTCCCCAGCTACCAGGGAGATCAGAAGGCCTCATCCTCTCTGGAAATTTACCAAGTACCAGCCTGGGGCCCTATTCTTTCTTCCTATAAAATAAAGGTTTCTGTGCTCAACTAGAAAGTTCTTAAGCCCAAAGAAAACAAGTGCAGAAGTGTCTTCTCACTTTTTGCAAAGCTGATCAGAAATGTCCAGGGCAGCAAGTGTATTCTGTGTTGTGTCCCAACTAGGAACATGGAAAAGATACTGTTTTTAGACTTTCCTTGGATGACTCCATAGGAGAGAATGCGGACCAGGCTACAGTGTGAGAGGAAGCACAGTGACAAGTGCTTAAGGACCACGTTTCAGGTATGAGTCGTCTGGGATGGAAGGAGACGGTGACTAGGAAGGAGGACACTCAGTTAGGAATCCTGAAATCCCAGCTCCTGTTAAATGCTCCTTTATCCCTTCATTCAAAGAAGTTAATGATATTCCAGAGCTGGGACCCCGAACAGGTGCCTCAAAAACAGGCCAGTTTCCAGCATGGAGGCGTGAGGGCAGAGGCTGGACAACCTCTTGCTAGCAGGCATGCAGAGCAATGATTTAAGCCTCAAGCAGAGATTTAACTAGTTAATATCTTACTCCCCTCCAATTTGGGGACCTCGTGACTAAACTGGGTCTCAGTGGTATCTTCGGGTGGTCCTTTGTTATCCCAGGGTAACTGTATCAGAAAAGGTCATTTTCAGGGGGAAGGGTGTAGCTCAAGGGGTAGAGTGCATGTTTAGCATGCACAAGGTCCTGAGTTCAATCCCCAGTACTGCCTCTAAAACCTAAATAAATAAGCTTCCCCCCTCATTCCCCCAAAAAACTAAATAAATCTTCAGAAAAGGCTGTTTTAACTGAATCCACTTAAAATTTAGATTAGGATGTTACAGTAAATTAGGAGCAAATGGTTTGATTGGGACTTATCCTCAAAAATTAAAATAAAAATTAGAAAATAATAGTAAGTTTGTCACCTTTTAACAAAATTTGCCATTAAATGTTGATTGAGGAAAGTATCATTTTCTCACAAAGCACCATGATGCTAACAGAGGCTCACTTTTGACCCCATCAAAGAAAGGAAGGAAGGAAGAAAGAAAGAACGAACGAACAGACAGACAAACCAGAGGTTTAGCTGAATTTTTCAAAGGTATCTCGATGTTTCCAAATTTCAATCACCCCCTTTAAAGGAGCTTTAACATGCTCTTTCCTGTTTTCTCTTTTTCACGTGCAAACTGTCTAACTCTAAACCCTCCTCAGTCTTAGGCTTTGCAAAAGATTGACATGATTTTCTCATTCCTCCTATGGACTCCTCCAGGGTCATTTTTTAAATCTGCAGCTTACTTGAGCATTTCATTTGCATCCTTTTCGCACTGGATTTTAATAGGGGTGGGCAGCCTCAAAACATGCCCTCTCCTGATCCTGTTTGTCTTCACCCAGACCACTCCTCCTCTCCCAACCCCAGCAGACCCTGGTCCAGCCTTCCTGCTGGTGCCTCTTATTGCTCAGCTCCATTTGCATCCAGCTGTTTAGGAAGTGTTTGCGCTGGCCAGTGGGCAGGCCTCTCTGCTAAGAGCAATGCTCCCAGGAAACCCAGGCTGCCTAGGGAAGGTAGCATTCAAGCCGCCTACTTGGCAATAGCAGAAAGGTCCTCAGACCACAGAAAATGTGTGTTGATTGAGGACCTACTATGTGCTGGGACCAATGGCCCTTGAGGTGTGTGATGGTATCTACCCCACAAACTTCTCATGACTGGCATACCTCAGTCTGTCTCTGGGGCTTGGGCAGGAGAGAACCTTCTCTGGGGTTGATGCCATGCCAAGGACAGGTGGGACACTCCTTACAGGTTACTGAGGTTACCTGCTTGGTGGACCTGACTTGGACCAAAAGTCAGGTGGCACAAATACCCAACCACCACTGCACAAAGGACTCACAGTTGCACCGTGTGACCATCTTGCCTGCCATGTTGGAGCACCTGCCTTGGGTTAGGCACTGCAGAAGCGCTTTACATATAGAGAGCCTCCTGTCATCCTCCCAGTGGGCACAGGAGATGGCTACTACTGTCCTTTCACAGGTAAGGAAACAGACTCACTCAGCTGGTGAGGACTGGAACTGGGCTGAGGGCTGGCTCCTTCTGTCCCTGAAGCCCCATGGCCACCTACTGCCCTCGGGTACCCAGACTTGTCCCTATGTGGGTCTGTCCTCTGGCTTCTGAGGAAGTAACACTAAGACAAGACCTTGTAGTAGACCTGATGTCAGTGGGGGATGACCCCAGGCATTTGGGAGAGCCCCAGACATGCGCAGGGTCTGCAGGAGGCCACCTGGCCAAGTCCAGGTCCTGGGTGCAGTGTCTCCCAAAAGGTGCTGACTGCTCTGAGCTGCAAAGTCACAGCCACGCCCGTTCAGGCAGCTACCGAGTGCCACTCTGCAGCCCCCACAATGCCAAAGCTCCCCTAGTCCGGATGATGCTTTGGGAAGAAGGTGAATAACTGGGTGTTTTTAAGTTCATGGAACAAAGAGCTAAATCCCTCTACAGGCCTGAGAAGGGATTAAGAAGAAATCGATGTCTGTGCGTGACCAAGAGCCAAAGCTTTCTGAACAGAACAAACCACAGTGACTACACACGTGGGTGGTACACACGGGATGGGAAGAACAAGAGGCAGCTGTGGACAAATCCCACTAGGACATTTTGGAGGCTCTGGCCTATGACTTCAGTGACTGCAGCCCCCCTGCTTCATGGGAGATCTAGGGGCACGTCCTAGGGGCACTCCCTGTGCAGGGCAGGGGGGCCTGGCAGGGGCTACATCTGCACACGGTCCTCCTCTGGGACCCGACCTCCTGCCCTCAGTTGGACTCACAGCTGGCCCCACTGGGTCTGCCCTCCTCCTGGGGAGAATATAGTTTAGACGAGCTGAGCTTCACCGACATCCTAGAATCCAAAACCTAAAAAGCACCTCTTATCAGAACCCTGGTAGAAGCTCAAGTGGGGGATTTAAGGCCTCTTTCTGCTGATCTTAAAGAGACAGCAAAACATTCGCACTGCCAGCAGTGGGCCAAGGGCCAGTGCAGCCTTCAGGGTCCACACAAGGGCCTGTTGTTCCCGGAATCACTCGGGGCCAGTTCAATGTCACAACGGGGTCTTTCAGAGGACAAAGAGCCTCTGGCCCGGCCTAGTGCCCCTGCACACATGGGCATCCGCCCATGGCATTTAAAACAACATGACTCGAAAAAAAGATTTAAAGTGATTGTCCCCACTCTCTGGGTGTTTCATAGCCTTTGTTCTGTCTCCATTGTACAGTCAGGGCATCCTCTAAGAGCTAGGGTGCTGGAGGCAGACAACAGGGCTTCTAAGCTCTGACCTCTCTCTTCCTTCACAGGTAACCTGGGACAATCACAGTGCCAGGCTCTAGAGGTGGTACCCAGAGAGGTTTGATACATGCAGGGTGCTCAGCTTTCAGGATGTCCTTCAGCCAATACATGGTCAATGAGAGCTTGGCAGGAAGCAGACACCTGGGGACATGATGGGAGAAGACTTGTCAATAACACTGGATGCCCTGTGCTGCTTGAAGCACTTTACTCATTCACTTAGTCTTCGTGACAATGCTGTGTGGTGGATACTATTTAGATGAGGAATCGGAGGCACAGAGAGGTTAAATGATTTACCCAAGGTCATACAGCAAGTAGGTGTGACTTGAGTTCCAAGGGTCTGGCTCCACAGGCCTCAATGTTACCTGTCATGTGCCACATCTCATAATAAGACCAGGGGGAATAGCCCTGCCAGGTAAGTCCTTCAGACCCACAACACCGACAGATGATACTGAAGGTTCCAAATGTCACACAGGGAGTGTCAGGGAAACCCAGGCAGAAGCCCAACGCACCAGGGAGGGGTGTCTGAAATGAGCGAGCCTAGAGACTCGGAGGCTTCCCTGGGCAGAGCCAAGGCAGTGATCCAGCAGGTGGGGTCGGGGAGGGGATGTCTCAGGAGCTTAGGAGGGCACCAGGGTGGCCCTAAAGGTGAGGCTACAGCCTGGCTTTCAGCCCTGCTGGGAGTACCTGTTGAACAGTGGCAGCTGTCCAGGTGAGAGATGTTGTGGGTCTGGGCAATGGCAGTTGGAGAAAGGGGGTGGGGCACAGACAGGCTGGACTGGGGAGGTGGGATAGACTTGTCCAGGTTTGGGAGAACAGAAAACCCATAGAAGGAAGTGGCAGAGGGCATGGACCCTGAGTCAGCACACATGAGTGGCCTCTCTCAGCCTCAGGGCCCTTGCCTGCAAAGTGGGAATATTCATCCTGCCTCATAGGTTGTTGGGAGGATTCAAGGACTTGGTTCAGGTAAGCCCTGGGACTGAGGAAGGCTGAAGAAGTGCCAGCTGGGGTCAACATCAGGGGAATGAAGGAGGGAAAGGTCTAGAATGATCCTGAAGTTTCTAGTCTGAGCAGATGATGGCTGTTGGCATTGTGTTTATTAATTAACCATGTTCCTGATATTGTCATTAACTTGGATTGATACTTTTGCTTTCCCCCCCAGAACTGAACATTTAATCAGTAATGACACACTTTAAAATAGCCACACCAAGTTGATGACAAGACTGAAATCATAACGGTGTAACTACAGTTCAGGCTCACAAAACGGAGTCGGGCAGCCATTGAGGACCTGGCCTCAGACACGTCCCTGCACCACTGGGAATTTCAGCTTTCTCTTAACTTGATCAAACCGCAAAACACCAGCCCTTTTTAAAACAACAATACTATCTAGAACTCTGTGGTCTCAAGGTTGTCCCCCCCCACAGCTGTACTGTCATTCCAGACCCAA